CCGCCCACCCCATGCGGCAGAGCCGTAATAGCGAGGCATTCCGTCTCTGCCGGGCTGTTACAGTTTTTCTCTGAATTGAACATGGCACAGCGCTGTTATGGAGATAACTGGCCGGTTATTATTTCACGGCTCCGACCGGCTAGTGCGCAGCAGGCTCGGTCAGCCTTCGTGGCAGTAAGGGCTACTTCTTGGGTGTTTGTTTGTTCAACTTAAACGCAGCATATGTATTCAGAGTCATTAATTTGCAATATCAAATGCAGAATCATTAATTTGCAATATCAAATGCAGAGTCATTAATTTGCAATATCAAATTAATTATATTAAACAAATTTAATCAAGCTGCCGTTAGCTATGCTGATCTGATATCTAAAGCGCAAGAGGAGTTATATCCTGCGACATCTTCATACATTTCATGACATAATGGTGATAATCTATGAGAAAATTTTAAATTTGACCACAAACCTGTTGAAATGCTGTTTCTTCCTAAATATTCCAGCAACAGCAGCACATTTGAAGCCGGAATATTCTAATAAAATTGGTCTTGCCATATGGCCGCCAAAATTTCCAGACCTTAGTCCACCTGAGCAGCTTCATACGGTCATAAATAGAGATTCATTTTTTATTAAACCGATCATCGCCGCCATCTTGTCCGAATGACTTGCTATTGATTGAACTGTATAAGCAAATAAAATTCTCTCTTCAATTCATATGTGTCAATCACCTTAAAGAAATGAATATTAAAGTACGCGACCGCTTTAGTGTTGCAAATCGGCGTGCATATAGCGGCAGCACGCCGAGCGGAGCGGATCAGTATTTCGTGCTCAGTGAATATGTGATTTGACCTGAACTGTGGCTTGAACTTTATACATGATGTGCAGTATACTTTATACGTGATGTGCAGTATACTCTATACTTGATGGGCAGTATACTTTATACTTGATGGGCAGTATACTTTATACTTGATGGGCAGTATACTTTATACTTGATGGCAATATACTTTATACTTGATGTGCAGTATACTTTATACTTGATGTGCAGTATACTTTATACTTGATGGGCAATATACTTTATACTTGATGGGCAATATACTTTATACTTGACGGGCAGTATACTTTATACTTGATGGGCAGTATACTTTATACTTGATGGGCAATATACTTTATACCTGATGTGCAGTATACTTTATACTTGATGGGCAATATACTTTATACTTGATGGGCAATATACTTTATTACTTTATACTTGATGGGCAATATACTTCATACTTGATGTGCAGTGTACTTTATACTTGATGGGCAGTATACTTTATACTTGATGGCAGTATACTCTATACTTGCTGGACAATATACTTTATACTTGATGGGCAGTATACTTCATACTTGATGGGCAGTATACTTTATACTTGATGGCAGTATACTTTATACCTGCTGGACAGTATACTTTATAATTGATGGTTCAAGGGCTTGAATAAATCAAGTGCGAACTTCGGAATGCGGTCGTGCTTGGTAATTTTGGTGTTCGGAGCCTGGTCGCCTGGATACCGTTGATGCATTTCATTTGTTGTTCAGACTACGCCATTTGTAACTCTGGTGATTATTTTTTAGAAAAGGTACATTACAATGGGGTTGAAATGTAAAGATTTTCTCGATTGAGCTACCACAAACACATATATTTTTTCGGTATACTCCAATGAAGTGGGTTGGCGATTTTTTTGATTTTTTTTTAAATAAAAAAAAAATCAAAAATCAATTAATTTTTTTTATTTTTTCATGATTTTTTGATTTATTTGATTTTTTCTATTTTTTCAACTTTTTTGTCTTTTTGAAGTGTTATTTTTTATGTTGCAATTAGCCTACTAACAATAACAGTATATGGATCATAATGGATGGCTAAAAAGGGCACTTATTGCCTTCAATAATGGCCAACAGGCCAAGGTAGTCTTTACCACTTAGGGATTTTTGGGTAAACAATTATTGGTAAGTCTATTCATTAGCTTTGTAAAGTTTGTATGGAGCAAGGTAATGAGCTAAATATTGACCATTTAACTGGCTTCAATATACAAAAACACTTCAGGAATGCAGATCTTCTAGACATTGAAGAGTCACATAACAGATAGGTAGCTGATAGCACAGTGCACAGCACTATCAATAGATCTACTAGTTTTATGTCCTCTAAATCTACCAGACTCTACCCTCTATACACACCTACTAGTAGTGACTGAGTGACTGACTGCACTGTACCCATTTAATTCAGACCAATAAACCAATACTAAACATAAACTGAACGATAACCAAACTAACCTCGTACGACTTGAAACGAGACTTAAGTTATGAGAAAATCTAATACTGTTTGAAATAAACACAATTCAAATATTTTATATCCATTCACTGCATTTAATCATTTTATATATAGTCTTATAATTGTAATTGTCTTGTTTCTAGTTTTAAATTCACATATTTAAAGATTGGAATTAAATATTTTAATTAGAATACTCATATTAGGGTGGAAAATCTTTCTAATTGCCTAAAAGGTCAACACAATCGCAACCTCTCAATATACAGGGTGGGGGGGAACCGATTGAGCAGTTTTGAGGTAAAATAAAAGAGTAATGGAGGTACATAAAGAAGAAAGTTTATTTTCCTAGAGGTTAGCATAACATATCATTTGGAATACTTATGTTTTGAAAACAATATCTAGAAGATGGGGGCCGTTAGCAGCAACACACTGTTGGAGTAGTTCACTGAGGAGGGAGTAACCGTAACAGTGAATTCCGATTGCTATGCTGCAATGTTGCAAAATTTCTTGCAGCCCATGATGGACGAAAACATTGTTGAAAATGAAGCATTGGGAGACGTGTGGTTCCAGCAGGATGGGGCTACAGCTCACACAGCCCGAATGTCACTCAATGTTTTGAAATGCATGTTCCCAGACTCTGAGGGGTGATTTACAGTGGCCTGCGAGGTCACCTGATTCGAGTATTTGCGATTTCTTTCTTTGGGGACATCTAAAAGAAAGGGGTTCAGAAGTCGCCCTCACACCCTACCACAGCTAAGGGAACGGATTATTGCAGCAGAGGTTATGGCCAAAGCTTGCCATATGTGTGAACGTGCTGTAGAAAACTTCCGAGAACGACTCCAACAGTGTGATGCAGCTAACAAACCCCATCTTCCTGATATTGTTTCAAAACATAAGTATTTTAAATGGTATGTTATGCTAATCTTGAGGAAAATAAACTTTCTTCTTTATGTACCTCCATTACTCTTTTATTTTGCCTCAAGACTGTTCAATCAGTTCTGCCCCACCTGTATAAGCTAGCTAACACATTTAAATTGTATATTGTAATCAATATATAACAACTAGTCAAATTGTTAGACTACTTATAGCCTTATAAGAATTAGCTAAGCTGCTAGCTATGTACAATGTATTGCACACTTGATGCCTCTGTACCAAAAACATTTAATTTATTGGAACCTAATACACACTATATAAAGGCAACAAGTTTATATACCAAATTGTCATTCATAGTACATTTATACTAAACCATGAATAACAATACCTCAATATAAATTAAAGACTGCCACTCAAAATATTTAAATATATGAAAAAATCAAAAATATCAAAAAAATCGAAAAAATAAAAAAATCATGATTTTTTTATAAAAAAATCAAGTGATTTAATCACATGATTTAATCATTTTGATTTAATCATTGCCAACCCTGTTAACTTCATACATGATAGGGACATCACTAAAATTTGCAATTTATCTTTTTTTTGGACAATAATTCACTGTTGAATAGAGCCAATTTCAGCTTTACAATTTATTTTCAATTTAGAATTGGCATGTTAATCTACCGGCCCTTGTAATATTTCCAAGTGTTGGAGTAAGGCAGATTTGATGTTTTCTTGTCACCTCAGAAACAATCAACGCACTTCATATGCTCCTCTTACGGGCAAGTAACGTCGCATTCCATACAATAGCTGCGCTTATATACCGCTATGTGTTAGATTTTTGGGCGGTGAATATAAGAATGCTTTGTTACTGTTAGGCAACTTGCAGGCAATGCGTGTATGTGTGCGGGTGGCTCTGGTCGGTCCATCGTGTCTCTTTACTTTTGACAAGGAGACGATGTCATGGCAATTATGTTGGAGGTGATGAAGGAAAAAGAATGCCGTGCTACTGTGCATTTTCTTTCAGATGTCGCTTACACGGCTTGGCACTTGGAGGTTAATTGTTATTAAGTTAACAGACACACCATCGAAGTTCTTATTCCGTTCATAAGATTATTATTGAAATGTTCATTCATTAAGTTCATCGATGCTACTATCATCCATCAAAAGTTTTTATGAAGTATTAATCCAGTTCATCAAGTTACTTCACGTCATGAGTATGTCCACGTGCTTTCGATATATTTATTTCACTTTAGAATTAGAGTGAATTTAAATTATTAAGTTAGCACTTCCGCAACACCGACGGTCACGAAGATTCAATGTGATCTTTCAAGACGGTGTCTGATAGTTCACGGTGTCTTGCTACTGTTGTTTGTTGTCGTATCGCTAATTATCTATTTTAATTTTCACCTAAATCAGTCGAACTTATCATTAAGTCGAAGGAAGTTCTAATGCTTTTGCCAAAATTTAATTGTTTGAAACTTCAGCTATTTTTACGGTTCATCTGAATACTCTGAAATAGACGAAAAATAAAAGAACTAAAAAGAATTAGATGAAGCTGAAAAACTTTTATCGTTATTTTTATGCTCTCTGACATACATTCCAACAACGAAGGTAAAAATATCGTTTATTGGAAAGCACGCACAGTGATGGACTGGAGACTTGATGATTCAATATTATGGATAAAGGAGCCTCACAAAGAAAATTGGATTCAAAATTAGTTATTCATATGGAATTTTAATCTTAGTTTAAATTTCAAAAATTTCCTTAGCTCCGTTCAGAAATTCTGATTTTGGCAAATAGATTTAACGAAAATGGGGAATAGAAACATAATGATTACGCTGCTGGAGGTCGCCATGCTTGCCGTGGTGAAGGAAACTCAGGGCAGTTCTACTAAGTACACCCCAGCCCCTGTACCCGTGGAAGGAATTCTTGAAGTTGGCGCAGCATCGAAGAACTACTCAGGCGAGAGTGCTATCCGCTGTACAAGTCGGGCTGTACAGGGTAACATTTCCTACCCAGCCATGTGCATGCACAGCAGCGGCGGGTACTGTCTGCTGCTGGGCTCGGCGACCTTGTTCAACCGAACTTATTCCAGTTCCACTGACTACAACTGCTACGTTCCGGAAAAGAATCCTGCGTTTGAAGGTGAAAGTAACACGTATTAACTACGTCCTTTTTCCTATGATATTTTATCGGTATTCAAACGTTGGCATACTTTTTAGTCCCTTATATTGGATTCCTATTTGTCTGTTATTTTCTGAATATATATAACAATATTCATTAATTTTATCTGTTATATTTTACCGCGTGCACCTTTTTCTATTTGACTCTGGAGATATCTGTCGGCATGACGCTAAATCATGAGATAATTGAATAAAGATTACTTCATAGAACAAAAAAACACCTCTTGCCTATCCAATTAAGTTAAATGCAGAATATTTGTCCCTTCAAGTAGAGCATATAGTAGCAGGTGCAGGGCGCCTCCCCCTGCGCAGTTAGTAACCAAGCAACGCGCCTCCTCCTGTTGGTGCTCGGTAGCGTCGCCTACGCAACGTCGTATCCAAGTTGACTCTAGCACGCGTACTAGGCGAGTTACGTGTTACGCGAGAAAGAACGTACTAGGCGAGTTACGCGAGATAGAACGTACTAGGCGAGTTACGCGAGAAAGAACGTACTAGGCGAGTTACGCGAGAAAGAACGTAGTAAGCGAGTTACGCGAGAAAGAACGTAATAGCGAGTTACGCCCTCTGGCGAAGAATTGTACTCACAAATACGATGCTAAGCCATGACGAACCCCTTCAGGAAACACAAACCAGGCGATGAATTATTATTTATTTCTGACTGACAATGTTTAGTCGGAATTTAATTGTGCCGCAAAAATTTCTGGTCGATATTCGTCCGGGGTCGAGGAAATGTAGCCTGTGTCGTTTACACACAGAGGGCACGATTACGCTGATTAGCGCAGTAAGCGGTCATTTTTACGCAAGTGCATTATGTCACGTGAATATACAGAAAACGACAACAAACCTGCGACCGCTTCATAGCCGTACTTCACTAGGATTAAAATCGAGGATACCAATTCACGAAAGCTTCGTTTCAATTCATCCCGTGGGTAGGTCGAGAGAGTTTCTGCGTAGTCTGCTTTCATGCTCTAAGATTGTTTACTATGCCTAATAAAACAGAATAGAAAGTGGTTTTCATAGAAAAATCGATGACGAGGCAATACCATGTGACCCAGGATTCCCGAAGATTTAGTTTTCAATATATGTTCCTAAATCGGCGAAAAGCGAAGTGTTGGTAAAAGTCAAGCTATTTGTAGTGATGTGAAAAATTCTTATATTGAAGCAATTCAATTTAATGCAATGAAATGTTGATTGCGAAAAAATAAACGCTAATATTAATATAACCTAACTCTAACCCTAACCTAACGAGGTGGGCGATTTTTGATGTTTGGTAGTGTAGTTCATTTATTTTTGCCTCCATTTTTAAGAGCAAACTAGTTACAGAGTCTATAACCTGACGCGCTTTTGTCCGGGTTCCTAACCCATGTCCTGTAATGTTACAATGTCCGGCTATTAACTGACTTATGTAAATATTTATGTGTATACATATTTCATTGTAAAATAGCGTGGAAATAATTACCAGCTTCATTTTGTTTCACCAGTCATTATCGTTTAGGCCAAAATTTAGAACAAAACTTCGATTCTGAGGATTGTAAATGCTATAGTTGCACGCAGAGGTGCAATATTTGCATCAATAGATCGTGTGTGAAAGTATCGCGGCACTGCGTAATTTCACTAAACGAGTCATTGTTCCCAACAAGTAAACAAAAAATTACCACCTTAAATTGCTTATCTGAATGCCACAAAACACAGGCCAGTCCTGCCCTAACCAATTCGACTGGGTTGCGGACGTTGGTTGTGTTGTTGTGGTAAAGACCGGTATGACGTACGACGTCGCCCAAGCCTCGTGCCCTGGAGGCTCCAAGCTCGTCTCTCTCACCAGCGACAACTTCTTCAACCTCACTGACTACGTCTACCGAACGGCCCACAAGCCTTGTATGGGATAAAATACGCATACATCTTTTTAAAATATAATCGGTAAAATTGAACGAATATAGTTGGACCCGTGCGTAGAATACTTTTGAAATAATTCATCTCTCATTCGTATTACATGACTATTATTCCCATTTGAATAAGATTGCAGAAATGGTTTCCACATTCAAATCAAAACGGACTTTCATTGTAAATGCATTAAAATTCCGAATTTTTGGCAGCTGGCAGTAGTTTTGGCTACTACCATGTTGGCCTACACCGCTACAACCTCGTGTGGACTTGGCGCACAGGCCAGGTCATGTCCGGCGTGCCTGGCACGGGAGTATGGGGAAGTATTGACCCCAATGACAACACGGACTGTGCGTTCCTCGTCTTCACTTCATCTTCGCCTTCCGCCCTGTTTGACATGCCGTGCTCGACTACTGCATGGATTGTGTGTGCACTGCAGTAGGTAGGAAATGACCGATGCGATTATTTGGCAATTGCCAGAACAAAAGTAAAGCCATGGCCGACACAACGAACAATACTAACTTGCACACCAACGCACAACGATAGACGCAATAATGCGTCAATGAAAAAATAACAGAGCAGAGAGAGAGTATCCACCAGTGCAGTAATGACAGGATCAACACTTCAAAGATGGTTGTTGCATGTTGCGTCAAGCAACATGCCTCGAACCGTCCGTACACCAAACGCGCACCTGCGCGGTAGGCAGAATAGGAGCGAGCGAGCGACCGGCAGGCTACAGCCACTCGGGCTCGGATGGCTGCTTTCAGAAATCGTGGGAGTGATGCTTTCTTCATAGCGTGTTTCGGCTGGTGAGTTAGAGTGAATATCTGCATCCCAGACGATGACGGTCGCGAATGGCACAAATCCGGTCGAGACAATTTCAATCACCGCCGACGATGGCGATTTCGGTATAAGTCAACAGCACACAAGTTTTGCAACAATAACTTTCAATTTAAATTCCAGTTTTTGCCATAAGTCGTAACGAGGAGTGACGGCACATCCAAAGATGTCCAAAGAGTTATATTTTAATGTCGTTGATATTATTGGTAATGTATCGGAATTTACATTTCATAATGTATTTTGAGAGTAAATTAGTTTGATTTGATAATTGGTGCGCATTTAGGAGATCAATCAATAGATCATTGATCTCGGCGCCAATTGCCTCGTAGGATGAAACTCCAGTTGTTTTCTTAATTCAATTTTCAACAAAGTTCTTGATCGTTTGAGCACGTTTTGCAAGGTAAATATTTCATCATCTCCAGTAGATTTTTGCCACCGTATTCAATTTAATATTACCTTGTAAACCAGAAATACTGTTTTACTCTTCATATTATATAATATGTTACAATCTGGCATGTGTATCTGTATCTTTGCACCCTACAGGCTTGAAGTGGAGCCGTTATCAAGAAACTTATTATGTAATACGATATCAATGAATAACGAGAAGAAAAAACGGTAATGAGATTTTATCATGCATTTAATTTTACACGAGTTAAGAACGAGCGAACCATCACTCTACATAAATCTTAGTTGTCGTCATAGCCAATCGAACAATAATTGTTAGTTAGACCAGCTACTGGCTGCCACTCGTTATTAGCCTCTCGCAAACACACCACAATTACAGTCGACTGCTTCAGAGAGTGTGGACGAGCTTTGTCTAGCCTTGCAAATGTGCTCTCATTTAAAAGATAGACATAAACGATAGCGTTTCATTCAGTAAAATAATTGAAATTTTGAAAATGTCAGAAATGCACATTCAGAAACGCGTTCAAGAACAGACTTTATAAAGCTATGGAAAAAGAAGGAAAAATGAAGAAAGAAGAATAATGTTCAGACTTGAAATGCTTAGCACCATATCGAACACGGTGGAAAACTAGTAGCTATTTCTAACTATCGTCAGTCGTGAAAAGATCCGGTCAAATGACACGATTTTAGATCTGTGAACAAGTCACGAAAAGTTCATGAATCGGTGACAGGCCACATCAGGCCTACTCTTCAGCGCCAACATCACTATTTTATGTTACAGTAAATTATAAAGAACTAGCCTGTTTCGAGACATCTCGGTTTCTTTTTCACTAATCGGGATAACGCGTATTGTCTCGAATAAAAAAGAAAAAATAACGATCAAACACAAGAGTTTGAAGAGAAGGCAGATGCTGAAGACAAACTCAAAAACATTCACGGAAATTTTTGGAAAATTTCCTGTATGTCATAATTGAGAAAGATAGAGGAAAAAATTGGCGCAGTCGATTTATGAAGATGCAGCGTTAACGACCTTATAAAAAGTTTTTGTTCTCACTACCCTAAGCAAATCGAGTGCACCTGAGCGCAAGAAACGTTCAAATTGTCTTCTGGATAAAGTTGACCAATATTAATTGTGTGGCTTGAAAAAACTCATCTTGGATCTAGTGTCTCATACAAATAATATTTGACAGTATTGATTTTTTCTTTATTGAAACAAATTCGAATGCACTTTCTTGTTCGAGGTAAGCTTGCGTATGCCGAGTTAGCGCAGTTAACGTCTAGCTAGCTTGGACCTAAAGATATCTCAAGTCTCTGACCTGCAACCTGGTCTCTGCTTCCCCAGCAACGGCAGCATCACCACATGAGAGGCTGGCCTTACGAATTTTATCGGCACTTTTGAACATTAGCCGAGCCGTCGTTGCAGATCTCGCTATATTAATGGCTCAACATTTTAGTTAGCAGCATCTGAATGTAAAATAACTATTGCCTCGTTCAAGGCGTCGCGCATGGTCACGCATAATCTAGATTGAAGCTACCCACTATTGAAGCTACCCACTATTGGAGCTACCCACTATTGAAGCTACCCGCTATTGAAGCTACCCGCTATTGAAGCTACCCACTGTTGGAGCTACCCACTATTGAAGCTACCCACTATTGAAGCTACCCTATATTGAAGCTACCCACTATTGAAGCTACCCGCTATTGAAGCTATACCCACTACCAATAATTCATTGTTCTTGATTGCGGCTCTGGCAACACCTCGTGGCTATGTCACTCTGCTTGTGACTATTGCATGGCAAAAAGTTTGTCACTATTTGGTCTATAAGATCCATATTGTGAACGCGAGTATCTTCATACTCCAATCCATCGTCCCTCACAAGCTGGAAATGATGAGATACCGTATGTGATGTATTAGTGCATTTGTTAGACTGGCTGAAATATTCAATGTAGCTTGGACGAGTGAGTATGTTACTTGATGCGTGGAATGTAAGCCGAGTAACCTTGATATACAAGGGAATTCACTGGAGCAAGAAAGAACTAAAGAACTACGGGCCAATTACTGTATTTCTGCTCTCCAGATTTTTTCGCTCTGTTGTGAAAGGCACGAATGAACATGACGGGGCAGCTAAATGGTTAAAGTTAAGAACACCTAGATTGATAAAAAATTATAAAGTGTAGAGATGCTGATAAAAATCGGTGACGGGAACGAGTAGCTGAGAACAGTAAAATTGGAGCAGTGAGATGCAGGTGCAAATCAGCAGAAAGATTTAAAGATTTTGCGATGCACGGAAAAGGTAGCAAAACTTATCAAGTATTATTGGTGAATACTTGAATGACTTCAGATGCAATGTATAGACCGTAGTTATAAATTTCACTGAAGTTTAGGGTGCAGGTGTTGAGAAGTCAAGGAATGTAAGCTGAAGCGATGCAGAGAGCTTATAAGACGCAATTTTTTCGAGTCCGTGAGACCAAGCTTGTGTTTACTTAACGAAGGTTGGCGAGCCTATCGTAAGAGAATCTTCATTTGAGGAATTCGGTGTCATTTCGAATGAAAATAAAACTGTGCGCTTGGTACGTATCAAATGAACTGAGTTTCGCGCCACAGAGGCTCTCCTGTTGTCACGGTCACGCGAGTACGGTCTTCAATGTGCGGACGTCGTGACAACCGCGGCCATGAGGCTTACGGCTTCGCCCGTTTTCAAACATTTAACTTGGACTCATCGGTGTGGCTACGCTTCCTGTCAGAGCATCTACAAGCAATGAGCAGCAACTACCACTTCGGTAGATTCCCTACGGCCAACATCAATATAGCGGCAACGTCTGCCGTGACTCAATTTCGAGATAACTCTGAAAGCAACCAATGCAGCGATTACACAGCCAGAAAATTATATTCAAGTAACATCGAGCAGTTGAAGTACAGCCATGACTTACAGCAACGTCACACAACTGAAAACCTTCAAATTCATTTCGAATACTAAGTCAACATAAAGAACTTTGAAACATGTTAGCTTTTCTCTCTCCATGTCCTATACTACCTACAATGTAAGAGTATGGCCACTGTTACCTCAATAGCTTATGATAGAAATTTCGTAACTTATTACAAAATCCGATTCAATTATCTTAGGCATAGTACGCGTATATCAATATAAATCCTGACCGAACTAGCTCGCACATTGCAACACAAAAGTTCTGCTACCGGAAAAATGCGACTGGAAATACTGAGAATTATTTACAAATTCAAAGCTTGTTTGAAGCCAAAGGGTGCAAGTTTCATCAATAAGAGGGCTGAAGCATGCATGCAAGTCTTTGAATTTGTTTATTATTAGGCAATTCTACAAAATGATCTAATAGTGAATATTCTAACATTTGCCTCATTATATTTTATTTCGATTAGAAGTATCACGAGACATGATACTGCAATGTGTGTCTTACCATGTTCATCCATATTAATTCCCATGAAAGAGAATTTCAATAAATCCACTTTCCGGCGTGTACCGGACAATACCAGTTCAGAGTGAGGTGAGACGCTTCGCTTTGTTCATGCGGTATACATTGATTTAAATTTCACGAAGTTCAATTCGAGATTAGTGCTGGGGTCGAAGATCAAATTATTCCTGACTTCACCACGCACTTCCAGAACATAAAGACAATTTTGGACGGGATACAGTCGGCGTTTCCAAGGCCATCGCAAGGTCGTTTATGGTTTACAAATCAAACTCATGGTTTTGTCATGTTGCAGCGCTCAGTTCTTCTCACGAATAGGCTTTAACGTCACCTCACCTCACGAAGAGTATTAACTGAGAACAATGAACAAATGATAAAATGAGTTCAGTGTTAAATGAGTTAGTGTGAACCTTTTCTTTCGTCGCATTTAATAAAGACTTTTTTTAGAATTCGAGCTAACAACATTATCATATTGCAAGGATTACCTATCCCCGGTAACGCCAGGTTAAGCTGCTAGGCAATATAAGATGTACTAACATGCTGTTTGGTGTGTAGAAAATTAAAACATATCTAGTCGGTGTATTTGGTTACCCTGCTGCTGGTTTAGAAACCACGATCGCATTAGAAATGGCAATGCGGTTGAACAAAGTGAAATGATGGCTCGTCCCATTGACAGTTCTGCTATATTTGTGAATTAAATTGCCTATTGCGAAGCGCAAGTCGCAGTTGCGCTGCGATGTTCGACCCGTGAACTGAAGGCCACTCGTATCCATGATACCAGAGTGTGGAGTTGACGCGTCGTCAGGGGCGCGTCAATTGGACGGCGACGCCTGGCCTGGCTGGGCAAATATTGCAGTTCAAGTCTGATTGTAATTTAAATATTTAAATATAAAGTTAATATTTCATCGCTGTTGCTCGAGAAATATTGCAGTTTGGGGTTCAACTAAGATGTCCAGCTTTTAAATTAAGCTTGCCCGTGACTAGAAGCGCTAAACGTATATAAGCGTTACATATTGAAGTGAAATTTTTTGTCTAGGTCTTCGAAATGCCGCAATATTTATTTTAATAAATGAAATTTGATTTGTCTGTTCACACATGATCCTCACAAAGTATTTTTAATAGGAAAAAGTATATTGC